TCCTCCGTCTCTTTCTTTCATCCCCACCTTATGCCCATCCTTATCCCTTTTCTGGTTCTTTTCCTCTTCCTAGAGTACATCCTACCTTATGATCAGGAATCCCCAACACTGGCTAGGCATCGCACCCTTCACTTGGGTTTGGTACTCCACACTTTCTGCCAATCTGTGTCTGTCTTTGAGGCAGACCATAAGCTCTTCAAGTCTGTAACTGTGGCAGTATGGTGCCCTGCACCATGGTTTTCATCCTCAATCAGCATGTTTCTGTATCAGCCACAATAATAAAAACCAGCATGTGTTGAGTAAGAATGAATCAGTCTCCTTAAATTATTTCAAAAATCTGGAGGAGCTTAGTTTGTTTTTATTTTTGTCAAAAAGCAATGGATGGGAGGAGGCAGAAAAAAAAGAGACAGAAAATGGAGATGATTCTCATTGAAAGCAGCATCCCTTCTCTCCTTTTTCTTGCTCTCTCCCTCAATAAGATCAGGCTCGAAGAAGCCACGTGCTTCCTCTTTACTCCACATATAATGCTTTTTTGCTTTTAGATTTATTATTTTCTTCCTCCTCACTCTGGCATTGACATGCAACAAGAAATAATTTTATTTCTCTTTACTTTCCCAAGATCTAGACACGGACATCAAAGGCCAGTCTTTTATCATGCATTTCCAGAGCACCAAATCGTTTCAAAATTGTTTTCACTTCTTTTCCTTATCTTCCCACCTACTAGAAGCAGGAGGTCATGTCCTCAGAATTTATACTTCCTTCTTGATTTGAGCGCTGAAATAGTTCATAATGCCTTCATGCAACAAAGTGTTGCATTAATTGCTAAATACACAGTGACGACACCTTTTTTAATAGGAAAGGTACACTGAAATGATGTACAACGGTGGGAAATAAAAAATAAAAAGATCAAGAAACAAACACAACCCCTGCTGCCTGTAAATCAAGATCCAGCCACAGGAAGAGCAAATCAGTGAACTCTTCTATTTTGTTTTGAAGGCAAGTGTAACGCGGAGATCAGCAAAACTGCTTTGCAGTATTCAGATCTTTAGTCCTCTCCATGGTGGGTGTCCACCTGAAGTCTAAAATCTTGTCCTTTTTGACCTGTAAGTATTATGGCCCACTGTATGAACATGCACATAATTATTGTACACTGACTTAATTATTTCTTTGGCCTACAAAATAGCATTTTAGGTATCAAGCTGAAAGATAAAACCAGAAAAAGTATTTTCCCTTCCATTATCTCTCTATTTTGTCAAAGCTGTGGATTTTTTTAATGAAAAAAATGAAATTCAGAAAAATCTGAATTCTTGTGGAATAATTTGGTGATTGATTTGGGGAAGTGATAAGCAACTCACTTGAAGATGGTTCAAACAGCTTCAGATTCACCTTCAGTGGAAAACCATGCACAGTTTGCTGGTGGCTTAAATGTCAAATAAAAAGGACGGCTTCATTTGGGGCCGGCAGAGCTCAAAACAATCCATAGGGCCGTTCTTAACAGATGGAATGTATGCCGGACCACCGTTTCCCATGTGGCCATCGCACAAAGCACACATATCTTACATGTACATAAGCCATATGATATCTTTATGTGACTGGTATCACATGATATTCTGTATGTAGAGAAGTAACATCAGAAAAATATTGCATTTTTCTCCTTCAAACAAGATGAAAAGCATCCAACTAGCTCTCCCACCAGCAGCTGATAATCTGGGCTTGCAAACACTACCCTGGTGCCTGAGAAATCATTCTGTCACTCGACACAGAGCAGAGACAAATTACTGGTGTGTTAAAGGCAGGGACAGCCCACCCTGGAGGCTCTCAATCCCATTTCACATGGGAAGTGGGTTTTTCCCTCTTCCCTCTAGTAAGCCCCCCTGCACTTCCCCAGCTCCCTCCTGCACCCGCACATCTATTGGCCCCCATGAGCAGGAGGGACATCCCCAGTTTCCCTTCTGGGAGACATCAAGCAAACCACAGACTAGCCTGTGTGTCAGCAGGACTATTGAGATTTTTTTGTTTAAGTGCTAAATACACAAAGATATACTTTCAGGTGAATCACAAGCAGATGACATTCAACGATTGGTCCCTTTTCTGACCCAGAATAACCCAGTAATGTATCAAAGTTAGGGGGAGGAAGGAAGGTAGGAAATTGGGGAAAAAAAATCTATATTATTTAAAATAATCTTAGGAGTAGCACAAGATTTTCTTAACCACAGTCTGAGTAAAAATAAAACCATGGCAGGAAGGTCAGGAAAACGACCGAGAACACAGTTTGCCTGCATCCATCGGAGGCAGCTGCCATCCGTAAGGCTGGAGCGCAGCTCTTGGCGGAAAAGGCTCACCAGCAAGAGTAGCTAAAAAAAGCCACAGCAGAGGAGAGCAAACCACAGCACTTCTAGGACAAAATGCACTTAAAGGCCATACTGAAACATCTGACTTTAACAAGAGTGTACATGAGGGGAGAATTTGGCCTATATTCTATAGAACTTAAGCTTTTGTTCACAGAGGAAGAAAAAGGCAAGCCTCCTGAGTTAAAAGGGCAAACTGCCAAAGAACAAATCCTAGAGCTTGCTGGACAGAAGGACTCGGGCCCTAGAAAACAAGGGCCATCACAGGAAATTTACACACAAAAAAGAAAACTGAGAAAATGAATTCACTCATCTGGGTTTATGATCATTCCTGCATTTTTTTTTTGCCAGCTTCTTTTGAATTAGAAACCCTTGTCACTTGTTTAGCAACTAAATACAAAAGTCCACTTCATTGCTATATTGATTCTATTTAAATAAATTGCACCAGAACAAAGGATAACATTGCCCTTGGTCAGTAGATTAGAAAGGCCCTTGTTAACCAAGCAGCAACCCCACTAATTTACCAGCTCTTCAACCAGTGAATATAAAATGCAGGGCCTACCCTCCTGGCCAATCAATGCTGATTTATCCATTTTCCGAGATGCTCCTCTCCCAAGGCTGATCGGTTTGCTGCTTCTTTGTTGCTCGGCAAAGAACCACCAGTTTGGCACCCAAAGAAACCCAAGTTTCCAGTGCTGGATAGCAGCAAGGTTTAAGTCAGTCACTTTTAATTAATGTGTGAGAGAAACCGCTGTGCAACAAACTCTCACGTTTCACTGGTGGCACAAGGGCTCAAAGCTTGAACTGAAGGAAGATCTAGGACAGGGAAAAAGATAAGGTAGTTCCTCTCACTAAAAATGAAGTGTTTTATACCGAGAGCACAGAAGAACAGCTCTACTATCCAAACATCATGGGAAAAGGTTTTAGGTGTTTTCAGGCTGTCTCTAGAGAGGTGGTTTTCCATGGCCACAGTTTCCTTTGCACGTAAGACCAGTAAATCATGGCAGCCTCAATTACATGTGGACAAAGCTGCCGTTTTGTAACTGCATAATTGGCTCAAAACTGTATGGAGAGGTGTTTCAGGCAGCAGCTCATGGGTTGTCTCATACAATAAGTGCACTCCTTTTCTAATTTCCTAAATAGGAACACTAGATGGGAAAGTCCAGTTTTGAGCCTATTAATAATAAATAGGCAAGTAATCATAGCAAAAATATTTCAGTCAGTCAACTTGTCCTCAAGATTTCTTGCAGTTGTGGTTTATGGAAAGAGCAAGAAAGCATTAAAAAAGGTGGAGTTCTTGGTTTAATTTAAGTTTCTACTCTAGTGTGCACTCAATTTGTCCATTTGGGCCTTGATCCAAGTTGTAGAAAAAAATCAAGCTTAAGACCATCCTTTTAAGTTTTAGGGACAAACAGATGGGTTTCATTTTTTATAGTTTCAATCCTTTGGTTCTCTCTTCTGCCTAAGTCTTACATTTAGAAAGTTATATTGCCACACAGTGACAGCTCAAACTTCAGCTCTCCTAAAACCATGAGAATTTTATGAAAGCTGCTTAATGACAAAAAAAATTGCTTTGCCACTTCTATTCTTTTGACAAACACGCAACTATTAATACACAACCCTGGAAAATGTTGCTTCGCTGCTGCAGGATCTGTGACCAATGGAGAAAGCACAACATTAACTAAATCCTACAAGAACCTAACTAAATAAACCACCCCCACACCTCCCTTTCAGAAGGGTCGCAGCTTATTACTTCATCGGAGTACATCTTGAAAATTAGTTTAATTCTACAGGTAACTATGTTCATAGAGGAAAAAAAAAAAAGAATAAAAAACACAGACAGTAATAACAGGTTGCCAAACAAAAAGGGAAAAAAAACAGCAAAACCAAGCACAAGGAAGCTGGAAGATTAGTAAGAAAGAATGGGTAACGTCACATTTCTAAAATGGTATTATAAACGAAGAAGAGTGAACAACAAAAATAAAAAATGATTCAGAAGTGCCTAACAGCGTTCTCTTAAATATTTACTTTGCTGCTATTTGGGGAATAATTTGTTCCATTTAGTAGTGCTGGGCTCAAAGGATTGCTTTAATCCAGAGAGATTAATTACAGAGCTTGGAGTTGCAAACACAAGTTTGGGAGGCAGAGCAGAGGGAAGGAGGGAGAAGAGAAATGCCTCTCGCACTGCTGATTAGCAAGTCCACGTGCTTTGGGGAGCCGAGCGCGTCCCGCACCTGAACACGGAGCGCTGCGGCGGGCGCCTGCATAGCTGCGCAAAAGGGGCCCCGAGACGTCCAGGGAAGACACCCCTATGCTGCAGCTACCAGGAGGGATAGCAGGGTTGCTACCGGTAACTAGAAGGCCTCTCAGGTGTCCTTCACCGAAACACAAATTTACCTGCACCTCGCAACGGCTGGCAGTAAGCTCAGTTTTATTAGTTAGACCAGAAACGCTGAATCAAGAAGCTGACGAAGTAAGCAGCGCCCATCAGGCAGAAGGCGTGATCCACGCCGCGCCTCAGCCTCCCGCATCCTTCCGCTTGCCCCTCGCTCAGAGTGCTCCTGGCGTGCCGGGAGACGCGCGGACGCGCAGATCGCCGGCACCGGCGGCGAGGGGGGAAAGAGGGAAGCGCAGCGGTGGGAAGGACCTTACCTAAGGAGGGCTCCGCTCCTCCCTCCTCCGAGCTCTCCTCGGCCCCCTCCTCGCCCAGGCCGGAGGTGGCCGAGTCCTCTGGGGCAGACGCAGAGCTGGGTGTGCTGGGCCCGCTGACGGAGCCCAAGTCGCCCTCCTCGCTGCTGGAGCCGTAGCGGTCGGGCCGCGCGGGCGCCCCGCTCTCACTGCAGCCCCTGCGCTCCTTGCGGTGCACGCGCGAGTGCAGCACCATTTGGTGGTACGTGCGGAAGATCTTGCCACACTCAAAGCACTCGGTGGACTTGTTTTGGGACGCCCGCCGGCTCTGCCGCGACGAGGGCCGGTAGTCCAGGTCGCTCTGTGCCAGGAGGCAGCTCTCCACAGGCTGGGGGCTGCTGCTGCTCTTCTCCAGGCGCCCGCCAGCGCAGCTCTTCTTCTTGGGGTTGCTGGAAGAGCTGGGCGAGTCCTGGTCTCGCTTGCGTTTCTCCTGGTTGACGAGGATATACTCTCTCTTGTCCTTGTCATAAGTCACATCCGCATCAGCAAGAGCCTCGTCCCATCCCACATACTTCACATACTCTGATGGCTCTGCAACTTTTCCTTTGGTGGCCAGCTGCCAAGCTTGGTAGCTGCTGACTGGATCCAGCTCGGCTACTCTCTTTCCAGGCTGTCCTCTTGTAACTCTATCTATCCCTACAGATGGCCTTAGGTTTAGACACTGCAAGAAAAACTGCTTTGTTATGGAAGGGCTTACGTTCCCGTCAGTTAAGCCCTCGCCTTTCTCCATGGTGTTGCTCCGCCGAGCCTTGTAGTGAACGGCATTATGTGCTTTTAGGCTTTCCATGTTTGTAAACAGGTTTCCACACTTGGTGCAAACTTCATACAGAGAAAGGCCAGTCACAATCGTCTCCTCCTGTATGACATCATTAATAGTGGCTATGAGCTCTAGATCGTTTTTTGGTTTGTTTTTGCTCCCTGTCTTTGGGCCGTGTGACTTCATGTGGTTCTTGAGAAACCAGGGCTCTTTGAATCTTCTGCCACAAATGTGGCACCCATGATCAAATGATCCCCTATGCTTTTTCATGTGAGCTTTCAGAAACCAGGTCTGACTAAAGGCCTGACCACAGACTTCACAAGGGAACTCGCCTGCACTCAGTTCACTCTTGCAGTTCTCTGTAAAAGCCTCCCCATTGGGGACCTGAGCTGTTATATGGTCCTTCTCTATGTGGTTTAACAGCGTCTCCTCCCTCAAGGCCATGTAGCTACACAATCTGCACTTGAACGGTTTGTGGACCTGATGCAGATGCTGCTCGAGGTCCTTCTTCCTTTCAAATTTGCTTTTGCAGAAGGTGCACTGGTGACCGGTGAGCCTGCCATCGTCTTCGGCAGGCACCGCCTCCGCAACCTCCTTCTTGCTGCTCCTCAGCAAGATCTTGCCATTATCCACCCGGGCAGTACCATTCAGGATCTTATTGCAGGCGGAGGTACTTTTAGTGGGGCTGGTGCACCCACCGAGGCCCTCCGCAACACCCACCTCCCCCAGCTGCACCTCTCCCATCTCCACCTCGTGTCCCTGACTTAAAGTGCCTGTTCTGTGACTGCGAATGTGTATCTTCAGATTGCCCTTTTGGGAAGCTCTGTGATCGCAGTAAGGGCATTTGTAGGGCTTCTCGCCCGTGTGCTTCCTCATATGCTGAGACAAGGAGCTCTGGAAAGGGAAACTTTTACCACAGATGCAGCAGCTGTGGCACATGGTCTTGTCTGCATCCATGTCACTCTTGTTCAGCTTGCTTGGGCTGGAGGATCTTCGTAATTCCATTTCCGCCTCTTTATTACGATCCATCTGCGTTACTGCAACATCAGATGAAGGGGGCAGGAGGACACAAGCATGTCCGACGGCTGAGGAGCGCTGGATTGCGTTTTCAATCATACGGTTGCACAGAGCAAAGTTTTATTTCTTCATTCTCCAGGTAACGTTTTTCCTTTCAACTACTGGAAAGAGTCTGAAGGACCAATTTATTTCTGTCTGTTCTGTAAGCAGATGGCATAGATCATCTGAAACAAAAAGAAAGATCACATAAACATACAAAAACATGTGTAAATAGGTTCTCAAATATATCTAAGCCTATCAGCATTTTTACTTCAATAGTTTCTGCCACTAGCCCCACACACTAAAGCATGTTATACTGATTTGCTTCAACAAACAAGCTATAGCTTCTCTTTTGACTCAACAACAAATACCCAAAGTATTCCTGATAAAAGAAAGAAAATCTGCACCCCCCAAAAAAGTCAAAATTAACCAAGAGAAAATGATTTCCATTCCTTGACATCTCCAAGAAAAAAATAAAAAAAAAGAAAATACACAGCAAACTTTAAAAATATCTTTTCATTTAAACTCAAATAGAAGTGGCTAAAAATACACCTTAAATGAAAAAAATCTTGAGGGAGTTATTACACTTTAAATCTGTGGCTTTACCATGATGTGCAATTTCATGTAAAATATTTACTTGCCAAAGATACAAGGCTTTGCAAGA